ATAGTTGTCAAAGTAAATTTATAACTTTTTGTCAATAATCATTTGGTTTTTTTTTTTTATAGACTGACACTTAATTTTTGTGTGATGACAATTAGCTGATCAGATTGTATACATGAACAACAGTCGACAGAAAACACCATTTGGACATAAAAGAATGCCAAGTGCATCAAATTAAGGTAATATATGGATTTAGATTTTGTTATTTACTGTAATTTCTGTTTTGTCATAATAAACTGTTAATCAAAAGTAAAATAATTACGTGAAATGTCTTATGATTGAATTTGCACCTTTACATGTTACTGTTTTGCAAATTACATATATTTAAAGTTACAGTTTTTGAGTGTTCTACATCATCAATCGACATCTGATTTTAATTTATGATATGCTAGGGTAATCTATTAGTAATAATATTTCTATTTAATATAATTTAATTGACCATTTTGGTTATGTACACCTATTTATTTCTGTTTCTTTTTTGCAGTTTCAAGGAAAAAAAACAAGTTGAACCTCAAAACAAGTTTGACACAGTGTCTTCGTAGATCTATGAAAATAATCAGGATCCAGTGGTGGACGTTTAGTGTACCAGAAATATTCACATGGAGGAGTAAATCTCCAAATTTAATACTTTTAAGTTAGTTTTGAAAGAATAAAGATAAAAAATTACTTACTTCTTTTAAAAGTGAATATTTATTTATTGTTTTGTGTGTTACACTTAATTTTGACAGAAGAAATATTTTCCATCACTTATCCTATTTTATTACGGATGAAATCAACTGCAAAAGAAAGCTTTATTTTCCATGATTTCCATTTTCTATGAGTTATTTAAAAGAAAACCTTTTTAAGCATGTGGTAATTAAACATGAATACTTTTATTGACATATATTGTAATAGTTAATGTATACTGTAGACCTTTAAATGAAAATGATTTGTTGACTGTTTTGTTATAATTTTGGATTACAAAATGTGTATTATTGTATTGACTGAAAGAGGTCTGATAAATGTTGAACTTCAATTTTGAAAAGACATGTAGCTCTTATTTCTTTTTGATTTTAAAAGTTTATATACAATTCATAAATATCAAACTTTATTTTATTATCACTATAAATGATAAAAAGTGAGTCATTTTTGTGATGTTATACAAATGTGTTGAAAATATATATTTACTGTATATTAAGTTTTACATGAATAGATAAATCAGAAACTGTGTTATATACATTTTGTTTAATTGTTTTTTATGATCACTTTTCTTAAAATAATAAAATCACTTTTCCAGTATAGAAAGTTTTGTATTTTCTCTTTATTTGGGAATTATTTAATGAAAACGGGTCAGATTTATGTTTGGAATTGGTTGGAATTACGTTGGAAACTAGTTGGTATTACGTAAGTAGCTGGTTGGAATCATGTTGGAAACTGGTTGGATTCACGTTGGGAATAGGTTGGAAAGTAGTTGTATATACGTTGAATAGAGGTTGGATTTATTTCATTTTATGACGTTGGACTGATGTCGGATTCTGACGTCTAAAAAACTTTCATATACAACTAAATTCCAACGTCTATCCAACGTCGGACTCTAACGTCTGAGCAACGTTGAAACAACGTCATGTGTTTGCTGGGAACATAATACATTATATAGAATTATATTAATGTTATTTGTAGATAAACTAAAAATGTAACAATATACATCAAGCATTGTAGGAGTCTTACATAATTTACTAATATTCATATACATGTAAACATGGTGGACATTTTTGAGATTCTCAGATTACTGAAAAATCAGCCATTAATCACACATAGCATGTCAATTATTACTTGAAGCTTCAATCTTTTACTTTTCCTAAAATCTTAGTACATTTTCTCAGGATTGATTTTGCTGAAATAGTTGGCTTATCTGGAGGCATGCTGCTTTAAAGACTGTGTTATAACTCTGTTGATACGTATCTTCAGTATATGTTGCTTACATATGCATTCATAGTTTATAATGCATTGGCATTAGAGTTATGCTTTTAAAACTTATGAGAAATTAGAATTTACTTGCTTAAGTTTTTATTAGGCACAACTTTTATGATAAGAAGGACTGACAGGGTATTCACTTAATTTTTCAAACATGTCCTCTGTATTTAAAGTGAAGGTCACATTCAATAATGCAATAATGCTCTAGCATGGTTTTACATCCCTTTGTGAATTTAGAAAATTTCTAAATAATGTTTTGCTTGCAGAGTCTCTTATCCATAACCAATAGAAATTTACATTTGCCCTGTTGGTCGAAATTATACCTTATTTACAAAGACCTAGAACTCGAACATTGACTATCACTCAAGTATAACCCCTTTAAGAACTGAAACATTTCTGAATTATCAAAGTTCTTTATTTACAATCAATGGCTGGAAATACTAGTAGTCAAGTAACTTTTTGATCTGACAGCTCTTGTTTATCATACTTGTTTTTGCTCAATGTAATTATGATGACTGTTCTATTTGATACGAAAGCTTAACTGCCGTTTTAATTAATGATGTAATAAAGGTCCTACATAGTTATATACATTTGCATTCTTTGGATTTAGATAACAATATGTTCAATATATGTGCAAAAAGTATGAATTGACATAAACATGTGACAATGCTGTCTTTCAGCACAAACATCTCTTTGTAACAAGTTTTAAATAATTCAACCGGGATTTACTAACAACATTTGCACTTTTATACTACTCATAAATCAAAAGATGGGGTATATTTCATAAGGCCTTGAACATATCACATGTGTTAACCTATGAAAATATGACATTGAGACCTATATAACCCTTTTTTTGTAAGGTGAGAATTTATCAAAAAGTTTAGAAATTTCACTTTATCATAAAATATCAAGACAGCTAGTTACATCAAAAGATGATATCTAGATATATATGTTCAAACTTTTTAAAAAGATATGCACATTATATATTTGATAGACTGCACATAAAAGTATAAAACTATTTTTACCCTGCTGCTGAGACATTTTATTTCATTCCTTACTTTTTATATCTTCTTGTGTTTATCATCATATATTTGCACAATGGTAAAACTTTGGGTCGCAACAATGGTGCTTAACTCTTTATAAAATCATTATAACTCATTATCAATAGTTCAATACTTAGTAATTGCTAGTGTTATTTTACTGTTGTCGTCCTTCAAAATTAAACTATGAGTTAACAGCATGATATTTCATAATATTACAATACAATGAAGCTCGCTTTGACGTTGGGATCAGAGTTGGTGAAACGCTTGGTTATTCGTTTTGAGAGGTTCACACACAATATCACTCAATCGTTTCTTTAGGATTGCACTAATAAATCTCAGACCATGAACTGTATCTCTAGGATATACCAAATTATTCCCCTCAGTCACTTAGAAAAATCCTACCTGGCCATGGATAACCGTAAAGCATAAAATATTATCAAGCAACTTGTTCATCTGAATCTCTGATTTTTTTTATAATATTGTATTTCGAATAGATTTGTAGGCCTTAATATATCCCACTTATTATGTATAATAACATTCTGTTCTTACAATGTCTTAATTAGATTTTATTAATAAGGTTTAGAAAAGTCTTTTGTCACATAATCACGCCACTTTTGCAACTCTGCAAATATGATATTTCACCGTTGTGCATATATTTGACACGTCGTTATTTGCATTACAAAGACGCACAAAATGTCACACTATGAACGTGTCAATGAAAATGTTATTCATTTGTACAGTAAACAGTTCTGTTTGGATATGTGAGTTTAGTTACAAGTTACAGCAGTTATGTTTTATGTTTTGCTGAATAAGTGTTTAACCATATACCGGTATAGCAGAAATTAAATGGAGTAAAACAGGATGTAAACTTGGAGATTAAAAAAATGTTCAGACAGATAAGGAGATTAAACTTGGACAAATAAGTTGATGCACAGTGAAGAATAAAAACTAATATTTGTGTTTTTGTGGTGTTTGATGTCTAAATGACGTTTAAGGGGCGTCCATGGCCGAGTGGTTAAGGTCGTTGACATCAAACCACTTGCCCCTAACCGCTCTGGGTTCGAATCAGGGACTTTGGATTCTTTCATAATTATGATGAAGCTATCCAGCTAGCTAACGGAACGTCAGTGGTTCTACTCAGGTGCCCGTTCATGCCTGAAATAATGCACTGAAGGGCACCTGAAGGCTTCCTCAACCAGTAAAGCTGGAACGTCGCCATATCACATATACTGTGTCGGTGTTACGTAAAAACCCAATCAAACAAACAAACAAATGGCGTCTTAAGTAGGGCCTGGAATTTTATTCGAATATTCGAAAACCACTAAACATTCAAATAGGGAAAACCACTAAACATTCAAATAGGGAAAAGCAAGGAAAAACAAACGATTTTTTATATTATTTGTCTAAAAAATTCAAAATATGAGGATCATAGTTCTTTCAATTAAATATCTCACTAGGTTTTCAAACCTTTATATCTGTTGAATATGTTTGTCATCAATAGTACATGACTTCTATTTGTTCATGTTCAAGGTAAGACTGACCACAAAATGTTTGCGGAACAATTTTGCATATAGACCCTAGGTGATGAAAAGATTACCTCTAAGAGTGCCATGTGTGTTAAATTTACATCTTTTAACTTCTTATAAGACTGTGTGTAGAACCAACATTTTAGACAAGCTGAAGTTTTATAGTTTGTATTTGGTTATATTTATATTTTGGACAAACTTCTTGTACTGGCATTTTTCAGAAATTTTTTTTAATTGTATTTTGGAGGTTTGTTCATCACAAACAGCCCTGTTGGTTATAATCCACTTGTAAACATTATATAACTATAAGGAATATAGCTTGCTTGATTAGGGTATAAAAATATGATAAACAAGATCAACAAGGAAAGGTGGCGTTAAATGAACGCAACCCCCACATAACCTAGCAACAAGAACTAGTAGCAAGGAGCCCAAGCGGACCCCAAACAAAAAACAGGAAAAAGCATTAGGCATACATGAAAAGTGATCAAATTATCATTATTCTCTATCAAACACGCACTTATCGTTATTTGCTGTTCCTAGATGTTCCGCTTGATTTATGTTTCACCTAATACAATAATATACATAAATACCAGCAAAAAGAAACTCTACTGATTTATTTTTATCTCAAAAGTAACTAGGATGTCTTAAATGTATTAACTGCTGGGCTTTTTTTTATCAATTTAAAGATCATTTCTGGTGAATTAAAATATTTATTGACAAAATTATATGATACAATATATTATACAAATGTCACTGTCCGTATACTTTTGGAAATATTTTTCTCCTTTACAGTAAATGAAATGGATACACTACCGTTTCTTATAATTACGGTAATTGTCTTCTATAAATACTAGATAACACTCCAACGGTTACATATCTCTAAGTCCATTTTACACTAAATATCTTGATTATATTACTAGAATATCTTTCTTCTTCAGATGAACAACTTATGTAAAGTTTATGATCTCTATCATTGTATAATACAGCCAGTGGATTACAAATGTTCTCTAATCCTACAATTTCACATTTCTTGAAGCTGCTCGACAATCTTACAATATTGCTACTCTCTGTGTAGCAAACTAACAATGTACCATCTTCCAACTCTTGTATTCCTTGAGGACATTTATATCCTTGATCCTCAAATCTTTGTAGAACATTACCTTGCCAGTCCAGTTTCATACACTTGCTGTGACCTTTACAAAAGAAGTAATCAGACACATACATGAACTTCTTATCTCTGTTGAAAACAATCTTTTCGGGTCCATCAAACAATCCAGGAGTATCAAACACCTGTATGATATTTCCATCTAAATCCAGAATAACCAGCTTTCCTGGATTATAATTACATCCTACTACTAACTTGTCCTGACAATAAGCTACACAATAACATATTTCTCCGACATCTATACGACGATCTAAAGACAAACTAATGTCAGTGTAAGACATTATCTGGATAAACTTTTTATCACATAATGCAACAGCAAATCTACTTTGTGGAAGTTTTATAACATCTCGTGGTGATGAAGACAGGATTATCTCTGATAATAGCGTTTCTTCGTCTATATTTATCATTTTAATTTTGTTATTATTTTTGTCAGCGACGATCATATTTGTTGAGGAAATCAGTACCATTCCAGAGATATTACATTGTCTGTTACCAGAGGAGTTTTGCACTTGTATTGTTCTTTCATAATGGACATATACTGCACTTTCTGCACAAGGTCTCCCGTATGTAGAAATCGTTCCTAGAGATGTGTTATGTTTGAACTGACTAAGCATCATTTCGTTTCGGATAAAGTTTACTTCGCCATCCGTTTTATTATCTTCAACTAATTGTTTCTCTTGATCTGACAGTCTTGAAACTTGAGGTCCAGCATGTTTCATCTCAATAAACAGCTTGTTCTGCTTGTTTTCGTCGCCCAGAAACTTGAGCATTGACATTGTACTTGACATTCCCTCTGCGATATGTAAGCTACCTGTTTTAACATTTTCTTGTTTACACTTTGCTGTCAATGCACGAGTTTTAGCGTCCCTCATAATTTCGGCTTCCATCTTATCCAGACATTCGTTTATTTCATTTCTAAAAACTTTTATATCTTCAACAACGGCCTTGTACATTTGTTCTATGTTTGTTGTAGCAGTCTCGGCAATTTTGACATTAGATTTACACTTTTGAATCACTGTCTCCATTCTGTAAATCAATTTTTCAAGCTCACCAGACAAATTTCCTGAAACATTTTGAATATAGTCTACTTTGCAGTGCTTGTGTTCTAGAGTCATACAAACGTAACATACATCAGAATTATGCGTGTTACAAAAGAATTCCAGTAGTTTGTCGCTATGTTTCGTACAAAAATCAGTTATTTGATCATTTTTTATATTCCCGGACTTGGATTGTTGTGGCATTCTGTCTTTATCAAGCAGAACGTGGTTCATGGAAGGTTTTGGTTTCCTGTGGTGTTTATAACAACTCTCACAAAGATATTCCTCGCAGTCCTGGCAATAACCAAAATCTGGTTCTTTTAAACCATCTCGGTCGCATGGAAGGCAGTAAAGATTGGAATCTTGTTCTGAAGAAACAGCTAATTTCCCTGACACTTCCATATTTGATCTGGAATAAAGATCGGAAAGAAACATGTATTTTACGGAAGATAAATTATTATCATGGGTAATAAGTAAGACATTAAGTATAATTCTTGCTTGAACTTCACCATCTTTTCAATGAGAATTATCTAAAATCAAACACATGAATGTCAATCCTACTCTTTAAATATTTTGTTTTCATCTGCACAATTTAGTCAGGTAATACAAATTTGTTCAACACGTTTGATTATCCAAGATTAAATAATCTATCTATAAAATAAAGAATGCATGTATCTCAACAATCAGGCTGTTAATTAAAGTTGTTTGAAAATCCTTTTCAATAGTTTTACTTTTGAATATAAATTTCAATAGTTAATTAAATTATCAACGTAAATTAATCCATGCACATTCTTATTTTTTTTTCGACATACATATATGTTGCTTTCGCTTTAAATGTATATTCGATTTTAACAAAACGGGGTCGGTCTAAAACGCAGACGCTTATGTGGACAATATAGGATATACATGTATAGTAAAAAAGATATATAGTGTTTTAACTAGAAGGTGTAAATAAGACACTTTAAAGCTGTTTAGATTTTTATTTTTAAGATTAAAATTTTAAGATATTAGAGATTTGTAGGTATGATTATTTGTCTGTTTGATAATAAATTAGAATTTAAAAAAAAGAAATATTTTTTTTATGATTTTTGTTAAGATGATATAAATATAAGAAATAAATAGTGATTTAGACATACTATGCTTGATTTGAATTAACTTTTATGAATTTAAGTTAAAATGTCTAATATAAATTTTATTAACTTTAATGAGCAGAACTTAAATGGGGACAATAGTTTTCAAAAGAAATTTTAAGAACAGAACATATTTTTAGTTGATATTTATACTTAGTTCATCTACGAAGTAATCATCAAATAGTTGATCAAACAATGTTATCAAGCATTTACAATTATTAAAAAAAAAAAATCAACAAAAAATCAATGTGAACTGTGATGTAAAAATATAAATATAATTTCATTAAAAAAAGTGTTTATCATATCAAATCACTTATATCTACATAATTTGCGTTTCTTGCAATTACTATGTACTCTAAATTGTCTGCATTTTACCAGGTACGTATATTAATATACGTACCTGATTTTACTTTATGATCTATACTGTTAATAAAGGAAATACACGTCTGCAAAATTCATTTTCACTATATATCTTTATCATCTGCGCTTCTTGTAAGTACTATATACTTTATATCGTCTGTATTTTACTATATGTTCTATACTGTCAATAAAAGAAATACATGTCTGCAAAATTCACTTTCACTATATATCTATATTGTCTTCGTTTCTTGAAAGTACTATATACTATATATCGTCTGCATTTCACTATCTGTTCTATAGTGTTAATAAAAGAAATACATGTCTGCAAAATTCATTTTTCACTATATATCTATATTTATATTGTCTGCGTTTCTCGCTTATTGATAATAGATGTTTATGATAAGGTAAGTGTGACTTCATATTTGCATGATTTAATTGCTTATAGCCTCTAGACCTTGTATAAAGATAAGTATTACCACATATAATGTGTATTACATAATCGGCCAAGGTTGTTTTTCTTTTTTGGGAGCGATTAACTTTAATATATTTAACAAAACAGCACACAGGCATACAGTAACCTTGAACATATAGTAAAATGCAGACAATATAGAGTATATAGTACTTGCGAGAGACACTCTATATCTATATTGTCTGCGTTTTACTTTATATCCTATATTGGCTTCATAAGCGTCTGCGTTTTAGCCTGTGCCAACAAAACGGACCATTTTCTCATTTTGATAATTCTTAATTTTACACTAAAGCGCCTGTCATATAGTAGGCCCACATTTTTATTACCTTAGAAAAGGATACAACGTATCCCTACTTAACTATTAAGTACTTTCCTGTGAACCTAATTCTAATTTATTGTTGAATAGGTGACCTACATTTTGGTTATCAATTCATCGATAAATCATAGATTTACGGTGTTTGCAGTTGAATATGTTTATTTGTACATATGCGAATAGACGTTTTCCTACGTGCACACTTACTTTTGAAATATTTTACAACAAAAAATATATATATACGTATATATTCTTACCTTTCTTTCTTACTTTTGCAGTTCAAACATGAACTTTGGAATGCGGAAGTTCTAAATATAGAACCCAGGGGAAACAACTTAATTTACATGCTTTTTCAAGTGGTACATCTTTTATCTTCCTTGCCACGGAACTAATTTAACAAAAATTTATAAAAAAATATCATAGATCTATATCATATATATATTAAATAGTAGAACCAAATGTTTTAATAAAGTTTTACATACATTGAGATAAATCATATTCTTATATATAACTCCATAAATATTAGATTTGGCAATAATTATAATCGATTCTGCTGTCAAATAAAAAATAAAATGTCTCTTCATCTCTTTTTTATATAAACGATTTGGCTTTTTGTAACAGTTTCAAAATTAATTAAACCTACTTGTATATGTATAATTGCTCTTTATAGGTTTACTGTGTTAAAAAAATGTAGAAAAGTTAAAAACCTTTCTGGGAACATATAATTTATATGATATATGATAACGTAAATTTGAATTTAAGAAAGTTTAAAAAATACGCCAAAATTCAACTGATTTATTTGTGCGTTGATAACTGTTAATAAGGACTTAATTTGTTAACCCTATGCATTTATATTTAAATCTATCAACATAAATAGGGTTATTGAAACAGGTATGTTATTTCAATGGATATTAAATGCAAATACTATAGATATACGCAGTTAATTGTAATTTATTTATACGTTCAACTCAAATTACACAAAACAAAAGCTATGTTACAGCGATCAACAATGTAATCAATAAAATGTGAAATTATGTTTTCAAATAACGTCTTATCATAGCGTTTGCCATGTCAAAATGAACAATGTTTTTGTTGTTGTTTCTTTTTCTTCCTTTTTATTTCGTTAGTCTGTCTATTCTAAATAAAGTCAGACCACATGTGTTGCATGAATTCCAGCTAATAAGTTATAACGTCTTTGTACAAAATTTAAATAATAAATTTAAACCTTAATGAGCATAGTTAAACATCTCAATAATTATTCAAGAACCTGTACGTTGCATATTTTCTTGAATTTCATGTTGAACAATTTACAGAAACCCACCATTGTTGAATTATTTCCGAAAAGATATTATTCACGAACAATTAGAAAAGTTAATTATCTATTGACTGTGTAAATGCTGGATTATTAGATATTTAGTTTGATGGAGATCTTGATAATGCATTATGTTTGATTAAATACTGATGATTTACCTTTAAAACGTTTCAATTACCAAAGCATATTTCATTGGTTACAATTCACTAATTGTGCGGTGATTTTTATGTACTGTGTAATGGCAAATTATTCACGAAATGAGTCTGAACACTTTTACAAAGGATCATTTCGGTATGATCTAACTAATCCGCCTTACATCTAACAAACCCCGCACGCATTTTAAGCGCTCTTATTTGATTTTCTAACTATGACAAATATTAATATATCGCGATAGAAAATGAACTATAAACATAAAAAAGAAGCAGACATTTTTAATTTGAAATTTAAATTTTCCAAAATTACGAGTTATATTTTCTATTGGATCATTTGCTATCTAAGTAAGGTAAACAATTGTTTCATTTTCAAACAAACAAGATATTTATGATTTATCGAAAAATAAGATTAGTCCATTATTTACCCTGTTAATTAGGACCCCATTAAGGACAATAACTTTACCAGATCTAAATGCACTGTTTTCAGTAGTTTGGTACCATGTCATCAAATATCACATCTAAACAGCTTTCTTACAGTCTTTTCAATTTTTAATCAATTTACAAGAAAGAACATTTAGTTAAGGGATTTTAGGTATTAAAAATTGAGTCTCAAATGTTTTTTGTTTTGTATTTCTTTTTTAATTTTATTTAGGGAAACAAAAGTAGGAAAGTTTTTTGGTAGAATTCAAACATGATTGCCAAGTCACTACCCACAAGTTTACAACTGAGTTAGCCTGAAACTGGTGCAGACCAAAATCAGGTGGCAGGTCTGTGCTGTCTGATCATGGTCTGCAATGTTCTCATGTTAGTCTTAAACATTTACGAATTGTCCCCAAACTATAAGTGGTTTTGACCAGATTGAATAATTGACAAGATATTGACTATTAAACAAGGGACAATGTATTGAATATTTAACAAGGGAAGGGTTATATACAATTGAATAACATCAAATCACACACACTAACTTAACATTTATGATTTCAGTTTGTTCCGATGAGAAATTTTGTGAACAGAAATGAACAAAACTTTCAGTTAGCACAAGCGGCCCTTGCTAAAGAAGTTCTGGCTGAGGTGCCGGACCAGGTTACGACCTATATGAAACAAAACAGTATCTTCCCTAAACAACGTCAACCTGCCACAGCTCCCCCACCTTACCAGTCATAAAGTTAACATCACTAATAATTGTGTAAGATATTATTTATAAATTACTATGTTTTCTTTAGTTTAAAAGTATGTAGATAAGAAATATGGTTCTTATAAAAACAAAATCTGTGCTTATTTATTCTTTTCAGCAAATACAGTTCATTTTTATGCTCCCCGAAACATTTCGGGGGAGCATATAGTCGCCGGGTTGTCCGTCCGTCCATCAGTCCGCACTATCGAATAGGGATAGGGGGCCATCGAACTGTAAACAGAACAAAAGAGAACAATAGAATTCATTCTATAACAATAGAATAAGGGGCCATGTCCCTCTATTAAACAGAAGAAAATAACAATAGAAATGACCCTTTATCCCAATTCGGTTGGAAGTCCGTCCGTGCGTACGTACGTCCCGAATTCGTGTCCGGCCCATAACTTTGTTATTTGAAGTCGGATTTTACAACTATTTCAAAGAAATAATTACCATATTGAGACGACGTGTCGCGCGCATTATTTCGGTCGCTACCTTGAAGGTCAAGGTCACAGCATGACCAAAATCGTGTCTGGCCCATAACTTCGTTATTTGAAGTCGGATTTTACAACTATTTCACAGAAATGATCACAATATTGGACGACGTGTCGCGCGTAACATTTAAGTTGCTACCTTGAAAGTCAAGTTCAGAGCATGACCTTGAAGCAAAATCGTGTCAGGCACATAACTTCGTTAATTGAATTCGGATTTTACAAGTATTTCAAAGAAATGATCATATTGAGGCGAAGTGTCATGCGCAACATTTGGGTCGCTACCTTGAAGGTCATGGTCACAGCATGACATTGAAGCAAAATCGTGTCCGACCCATAACTTCGTTATTTGAAGTTGGATTTTACAACTATTTCACAGAAAAGATCACCATATTGAGACGACGTGTCGCGCGCAACATTTGGGTTGCTACCTTGAAGGTCAAGGTCACAGCATGGTCTTGCAGCAAAATCGTGTCCGACCCATAACTTCGTTATTTGAAGTCGGATTTTACAATAATTTCACAGAAATGATCAACATATTGAGACGAAGTGTCGCGCGCAAGTCGGGAGATATATCATTGAGTAAAAGTGCAGTGCAAAGAACAGTAACTTTGCCTTGCCTAAGTTTGGAATTAACACACTTGGAACTTTGTCTGGGACATACATGTAACTCTGAAACTACAAAAGATATACTTTTCTGTGTCCAAAACCTAGTCGGGGAGCATCACCCGGTTCAAACTGCTCTTGTTACTTTCAAAAATTAATTTCGATGTAAAGTATTGATTTAGTAGAACTGAATATCTGCAATGTTTTAAGTGAGCATTACTTTTAAGTGACATAATGATCGTTGTTTCTCAATCAAGTTGAACGGAATCAGCTATACATATTTTACAGGTCAACTGTTAGAATGGTCATTTACCAATAATTAACAATAAAAAATGTTCACAATGAAATAAGAAAGAACTGCCTTAAATATGAAGACTGTCCCATTCTTTTTAAAAAATATACACCCTGATGGATTTTATAGTATATTTCTGAGTTTTGTGAGTTATTGATTATTTATGTTAAAAAAGAACATGAAAATGAAAACAATTCTGGCAAAATGAAAAAAATAAAATGCTAACACTTGTTCTATGCAAATATTCCAGAACACATTTTCTAATATTAAATTAAATTGTAATTATACCCATTCAAGTGTAAATGGTGAAAAATGGCAAAAGTACACAGCTTTTCATTGTGATATTTTTAATGGCAGGAATGTGGGAAAAATGATATAAGACCCTTTATTATTCGTAGAACGTCTGTTATCAAAATGAATGTTTCAATATTAATTGCAATATTGTAAAAATAACATTTTCTGTTGATCTTTACTTTGATAGATTAATATTCGTCTTTTTATTTTTTTACTGTTTGTACCATTTCGAGATTTTATCAGTCGTATGGGATCACAGAATCCCCAGATTTCACAAGCAGCATTAGCGAAAGAAGTTCTAGCAGAGGTTCCTGCCCAGTTAGTGTCTTATATGAAGATGAATGGAATCAAGCCCAGACATACAAAACCTGCTTGTGCTCCACCTCCATACTCTTAATTAAAAACAAAACAATTAAACAATGGAGTTGTCAACTTAAAAGTGAAATACATAAAAAAATCATTGTACAAAGTAGTGCACCTATTTTATACAAATATCATACATTATATAGAAATATATTAATGTTATTTGTAGATAAACTAAAAATGAAACACTTTGCATCAAGCGTTGTAGAAATGTTTTATCAAAACGGAGTCGTACATTATATACAAATATTTATATACATGTAAACATGGTAGAGACTTTTGAGATGCTCAGGTTGAAACTAACATGCATTCATAGTTTATAACACAGTGACATTAGAGTTATAGTTTTTGAAGTACAACTTTTTATGTTAAGAATGACTGTTAGGGTATTCACTTAATCTTCAAACATATCTTCTTCATCTAAAGTGAGGGTCACTTTCTAAAATGCAATAATGCTCTAGCATGATTTTTCATTTAGTTATACCCCTTCGTGAATTTAGAAATTTTTTAGATACTGTATTGCTTGCAGAGTCTCATATCTATAACCAATAGAGATTTACAATTGCCGTCTTGGTCGAAATTGTACCTTATTTAGAGACTTTTGAGATGCTCAGGTTCATTTTGTTCGTTTGTTTTGGGTTTTACGTCAAATCGACACAATATAGGTCATATCGCGACGTTCCAGCTTTTTTTTATTTGCATTACACGCACAA